ATATTTTACTATTAAAGCTCCTGGCGTGTCTGTCTTTCTCCTGCCCCTCTCACCTCCTGCGTGACCAGACTGAGGGGGCCCTGCACTGCATCCAGTGCGAGGGGCGGTCCCCTCTGGGGTGGGGTGCCAAGATGCGGGGGAGGGGGGCAGGAAGACGGGACTGCAGTGATGGAGGAAGGGAGTTGCAGTGGGTGAGCTGAGATTTGCAGGGGTGGGTTAGGGGCACACATCATGTCTTGGCAGGGAGTGCGCTAAGGGATGGGGGAGGTGCAGTGGTGGTGGTGGGGTTCAGTAATGGGGAGGGAGTTGCAGTGAGGGGGTGCAGTGGGAGAAGTGCTGGGAGACGGTGGGGATTGCAATGTTAGCAGATGGATGTGCAGTGGGAGGGAGAAGGTTGCAGTGATGGGGTGGAGCAGTAGTGGTTGCAATGAAGGGGAGAGGGTTGCAATGGGGTGTAGTGGTAGGGAGGCCAGCAATGGGGCAGGGGTGCAGTAAGTGGGAGAGGTTGGAGGGGGTGTTGCAGTCACGGGGGAGGCGGATGCAGTAAGGGGGTATTGCAGTGTTGGGGAGGGGGATGCAGTGAGGGAGTGGAGGAGGGGGTGTTGCAGTGTTGGGGAGGGGGATGCAGTGATTGGGGGAGTGGAGGAGGGGGTGTTGCAGTCACGGGGGAGGCGGATGCAGTAAGGGGGGTGATGCAGTAATTGGGGAGGGGGATGCAGTGAGGGAGTGGAGGAGGGGGTGTTGCAGTGTTGGGGGAGGGGATGCAGTGATTGGGGAGTGGAGGAGGGGGTGTTGCAGTCACGGGGGAGGCGGATGCAGTAAGGGGGTGATGCAGTGATTGGGGGAGGGGATGCAGTGAGGGAGTGGAGGAGGGGGGTGTTGCAGTGTTGGGGGGAGGGGCATGCAGGGGGGAGGGGGTGTTGCAATGACGGGGGAGGGGATGCAGTGGCGGTGTTGCAGGAGTGGAGGGGGTGTTGAGGTTACGGGGGAGGGGCATGCAGGGGGGAGGGGGTGTTGCAGTCACGGGGGAGGCGGATGCAGTAAGGGGGTGATGCAGTGAGGGAGTGGAGGAGGGGGTGTTGCAGTGTTGGGGGAGGGGCATGCAGGGGGGAGGGGGTGTTGCAGGAGTGGAGGGGGTGTTGAGGTTACGGGGGAGGGGCATGCAGGGGGGGAGGGGGTGTTGCAGTCACGGGGGAGGGGGATGCAGTAAGGGGGTGATGCAGTGAGGGAGTGGAGGAGGGGGTGTTGCAGTGTTGGGGGAGGGGATGCAGGGGGGAGGGGGTGTTGCAGTCACGGGGGAGGCGGATGCAGTAAGGGGGTGATGCAGTGATTGGGGAGGGGGATGAGTGAGGGAGTGGAGGAGGGGGTGTTGCAGTGTTGGGGGAGGGGCATGCAGGGGGGAGGGGGGTGTTGCAGTCACGGGGGAGGCGGATGCAGTAAGGGGGTGATGCAGTGAGGGAGTGGAGGGAGGGGGTGTTGCAGTGTTGGGGGAGGGGCATGCAGGGGGGAGGGGGTGTTGCAATGACGGGGGAGGGGGTGCAGTGGGGGTGTTGCAGGAGTGGAGGGGGTGTTGCAGTGTTGGGGGAGGGCATGCAGGGGGGAGGGGGTGTTGCAGTGTCGGGGGGAGGGGGATGCAGTGAGGGAGTGGAGGAGGGGGTGTTGCAGTCACGGGGGAGGCGGATGCAGTAAGGGGGTGATGCAGTGATTGGGGGAGGGGGATGCAGTGAGGGAGTGGAGGAGGGGGGTGTTGAGGTTACGGGGGAGGCGGATGCAGTAAGGGGGTGATGCAGTGACTGGGGAGGGGGATGCAGTGAGGGAGTGGAGGAGAGGGTGTTGCAGTGTTGGGGGAGGGGCATGCAGGGGGGAGGGGGTGTTGCAGTCACGGGGGAGGCGGATGCAGTAAGGGGGTGATGCAGTGAGGGAGTGGAGGAGGGGGTGTTGCAGTGTTGGGGGAGGGGCATGCAGGGGGGGAGGGGGTGTTGCAATGACGGGGGAGGGGGTGCAGTGGGGGTGTTGCAGGAGTGGAGGGGGTGTTGCAGTGTTGGGGGAGGGCATGCAGGGGGGGGGAGGGGGTGTTGCAGTGTCGGGGGGAGGGGGATGCAGTGAGGGAGTGGAGGAGGGGGTGTTGCAGTCACGGGGGAGGCGGATGCAGTAAGGGGGTGATGCAGTGATTGGGGAGGGGGATGCAGTGAGGGAGTGGAGGAGGGGGTGTTGAGGTTACGGGGGAGGCGGATGCAGTAAGGGGGTGATGCAGTGACTGGGGAGGGGGATGCAGTGAGGGAGTGGAGGAGGGGGTGTTGCAGTGTTGGGGGAGGGGCATGCAGGGGGGGAGGGGGTGTTGCAGTCACGGGGGAGGGGGATGCAGTAAGGGGGTGATGCAGTGAGGGAGTGGAGGAGGGGGTGTTGCAGTGTTGGGGGAGGGGATACAGGGGGGAGGGGGTGTTGCAGTCACGGGGGAGGCGGATGCAGTAAGGGGGTGATGCAGTGATTGGGGAGGGGGATGCAGTGAGGGAGTGGAGGAGGGGGTGTTGCAGTGTTGGGGGAGGGGCATGCAGGGGGGAGGGGGTGTTGCAGTGTCGGGGGAGGGGCATGCAGGGGGAGAGGGGGTGTTGCAATGACGGGGGAGGGGGTGCAGTGGGGGTGTTGCAGGAGTGGAGGGGGTGTTGCAGTGTTGGGGGAGGGCATGCAGGGGAGGAGGGGGTGTTGCAGTGTTGGGGGGAGGGGATGCAGGGGGGAGGGGGTGTTGCAGTGTCGGGGGAGGGGATGCAGTAAGGGGGTGATGCAGTGATTGGGGGAGGGGGATGCAGTGAGGGAGTGGAGGAGGGGGTGTTGCAGTGTTGGGGGAGGGGATACAGGGGGGGGGGGTGTTGCAGTCACGGGGGAGGCGGATGCAGTAAGGGGGTGATGTAGTGATTGGGGGAGGGGGATGCAGTGAGGGAGTGGAGGAGGGGGTGTTGAGGTTACGGGGGAGGGCATGCAGGGGGGGAGGGGGTGTTGCAATGACGGGGGAGGGGGTGTTGCAATGACGGGGGAGGGGTGCAGTGGGGGTGTTGCAGGAGTGGAGGGGGTGTTGCAGTGTTGGGGGGAGGGCATGCAGGGGGGGAGGGGGTGTTGCAGTGTTGGGGGAGGGGATGCAGGGGGGAGGGGGTGTTGCAGTGTCGGGGGAGGGGGATGCAGTAAGGGGGTGATGCAGTGATTGGGGAGGGGGATGCAGTGAGGGAGTGGAGGAGGGGGGTGTTGCAGTGTTGGGGGAGGGGATACAGGGGGGGAGGGGGTGTTGCAGTCACGGGGGGAGGCGGATGCAGTAAGGGGGTGATGTAGTGATTGGGGAGGGGGATGCAGTGAGGGAGTGGAGGAGGGGGTGTTGAGGTTACGGGGGAGGGCATGCAGGGGGGGAGGGGGTGTTGCAATGACGGGGGAGGGGTGCAGTGGGGGTGTTGCAGGAGTGGAGGGGGTGTTGCAGTGTTGGGGGAGGGCATGCAGGGGAGGAGGGGGTGTTGCAGTGTTGGGGGGAGGGGATGCAGGGGGGGAGGGGGTGTTGCAGTGTCGGGGGAGGGGGATGCAGGGGGGGAGGGGGTGTTGCAATGACGGGGGGAGGGGTGCAGTGGGGGTGTTGCAGGAGTGGAGGGGGTGTTGCAGTGTTGGGGGAGGGCATGCAGGGGGGGAGGGGGTGTTGCAGTGTCGGGGGGAGGGGGATGCAGTGAGGGAGTGGAGGGAGGGGGTGTTGCAGTCACGGGGGAGGCGGATGCAGTAAGGGGGTGATGCAGTGATTGGGGAGGGGGATGCAGTGAGGGAGTGGAGGAGGGGGTGTTGAGGTTACGGGGGAGGGGATGCAGTGGGGGGTGTTGCAGGAGTGGAGGGGGTGATGCAGTGATTGGGGAGGGGGATGCAGTGAGGGAGTGGAGGAGGGGGTGTTGAGGTTACGGGGGGAGGGGATGCAGTGGGGGGTGTTGCAGGAGTGGAGGGGGTGTTGCAGTGTTGGGGGAGGGGGATGCAGTGAGGGAGTGGAGGAGGGGGTGTTGCAGTGTCGGGGGAGGGCATGCAGGGGGGAGGGGGTGTTGCAGTGTCGGGGGAGGGGGATGCAGTGAGAGATGTTGCAAAGGGGGGAGAGCCGCATGACCCCACAGCGCCGGGGATGGGGGGCGGGGCTCCTGATGACAGGCACCTCCTGCACCCAATAACTGCAGGGGGCGGTTCCACGGGTGGGCGGGCCTGGCTGCTGGGAAGAGCCAATGGGGTTTATGGCTGGCAGGGGAGGCGGATCCCTGCCTAGGACGGGCACCAGAGCCTCCACTAAGGTAGCGGGGGCAGGGTCTCATTCCGCGATTGACGCTTCGATCTGCAAATGGGACGGGGCTGCGAGGCTCAGAGCGGAAGAGCGTCATGGGGGTGGGGCTCAGGGTTTGAGTGACACATCGTCCACCAATGGCATTTGCTTTAGGAGGTGGCCGGGAAGGCGAGTCCCTGAGTGACACCTGCCTCGCCCAATGGCATTCTCCTTTGGCTGTTGGGGCTTGTTACCGTCAGTCAGAGACTGGCGGCCAGTGGCGAAGCGAAGATAGGGCGGGGCAACATTGAGAGTGACATCCCCCTAGCCCAATGGGAGCTTCACGAGACTGCGAGGACAGGCTTGGAATGCTGAGTGACATCTCCCTCGCCTAATAGGAGCGTCTCTGGGTGGGCGGGCACTCTGAGTGACACCTCCTTCGCCCAATAAGAATACGTAGTGGCTGTGGGGCGGGCCCGGCACTCTGAGTGACACATCCGTCGCCCAATAGGAGCACTTTGGGCTGTGGGGGCGGGTCCGCTACTCTGAATGACAGCTCACTCGCCCAAGAGGAGCACCTCTGGGCTGTGAGGGGTCGGCAAACGTGCTGAGTGACATCTCCCTCGCCCAATAGGACCGCCTCTTGCCTGTGGCGGGCGGGCCCGGCCTGCTGAGTGACAAGTGCCCGGCCCATCGGCGGCGCCCAACGCGAGGGGCGGGCCCGAGGCCCACGGGGGGGCCAATGGAGGCCGAGGGGCGGGGCCGGGCCCTCCCCCGGTATAAGCGGCGGGGGGCGGGGCTCTCGCTCTCTCTGCGCTTCGCTCGCAAGATGGCGGAGGCGACCAACTGCACCATGGAGGTGGGGGCCGGGCCGGCACGTGCGGGGCCCGGCGGGGGCGGCTCGGGGCCTGGCGGGGGGGTGGCCGTGGGCGGGGGGGCTCTTAGGGGGGCGGGGGCCGTGGCCGGCGGGGGGCTCTCGCGGGGGGCGTCTCAGGGGGGTGGGGGCTGTGGCTGGGGAGGGGGGGGACTCGGGGGGGCGGGGGCCGTGGCTGGCGGGGGGCTCTCGGGGGGGGGGCGTCTCAGGGGGGTGGGGGCCGTGGCTGGGGAAGGCGGGGGAACTCGGGGGGGGACTCGGGGGGCGGGGGCCGTGGCCGGCGGGGGGGGTCTCGGGGACCTCTCGCCCGCGGACAAAGGGGTGGGGGCGGATCCGCGGGGGCTGGGCGGGCCCTATGGGGCGCGGGGGGGCGGGGCCATGTCCCAGCGCTGCGGAGCGCGGGGACCCTGTGGCTGGTTTCCGGTCTCGCGAGCTCAGCGGGGCTGGGGGTCGGGAGTGTGGGGCACTGGCAGGGCTGGGGGTCGGGAGTGAGGGGCACTGGCAGAGCTGGGGGGGCTGGGGGGGTCGGGAGTGTGGGGCACTGGCGGGGCTGGGGGGGTCGGGAGTGAGGGGCACTGGCGGGGCTGGGGGTCGGGAGTGAGGGGCACTGGCAGAGCTGGGGGTCGGGAGTGAGGGGCACTGGCAGAGCTGGGGGGGGTCAGGGGGTCGGGAGTGAGGGGCACTGGCGGGGCTGGGGGGGTCGGGAGTGAAGGGCACTGGCGGGGCTGGGGGGTCGGGAGTGAAGGGCACTGGCGGGGCTGGGGGTCGGGAGTGAGGGGCACTGGCGGGGCTGGGGGTCGGGAGTGAGGGGCACTGGCGGGGCTGGGGGTCGGGAGTGAGGGGCACTGGCGGGGCTGGGGGTCGGGAGTGAGGGGCACTGGCGGGGCTGGGGGTCGGGAGTGTGGGGCACTGGCGGAGCTGGGGGGTCGGGAGTGTGGGGCACTGGCGGAGCTGGGGGGGTCGGGAGTGTGGGGCACTGGCGGAGCTGGGGGGGTCGGGAGTGTGGGGCACTGGCGGGGCTGGGGGTCGGGAGTGAGGGGCACTGGCGGGGCTGGGGGTCGGGAGTGAGGGGCACTGGCGGGGCTGGGGGGCAGGTGGCTGGGGGTCGGGAGTGAGGGGCACTGGCAGAGCTGGGGGGTCAGGGGGTCGGGAGTGAGGGGCACTGGCAGAGCTGGGGGGGGCAGGTGGCTGGGGGTCGGGAGTGAGGGGCACTGGCAGAGCTGGGGGGGCTGGGGGTCGGGAGTGAGGGGCACTGGAGGGGCTGGGGGTCGGGAGTGAGGGGCACTGGCGGGGCTGGGGGTCGGGAGTGAGGGGCACTGGCGGGGCTGGGGGTCGGGAGAGGGGCACTGGCGGGGCTGGGGGTCGGGAGTGAGGGGGCACTGGCGGGGCTGGGGGTCGGGAGTGTGGGGCACTGGCGGGGCTGGGGGTCGGGAGTGTGGGGCACTGGCGGGGCTGGGGGTCGGGAGTGAGGGGCACTGGCGGGGCTGGGGGTCGGGAGTGAGGGGCACTGGCAGAGCGGGGGGGGTCAGGGTGTCGGGAGTGAGGGGCACTGGTAGAGCTCGGGGGGGCTGGGGGTCGGGAGTGAGGGGCATTGGCAGAGCTGGGGGGGCTGGGGGTCGTGAGTGAGGGGCACTGGCAGAGCTCGGGGGGCTGGGGGTCGGGAGTGAGGGGCATTGGCAGAGCTGGGGGGGGCTGGGGGTCGGGAGTGAGGGGCACTGGTAGAGCGGGGGGGGTCAGGGGGTCGGGAGTGTGGGGCACTGGCAGAGCTGGGGGGGGCTGGGGGTCGGGAGTGTGGGGCACTGGGAGAGCTGGGGGGGTTGGGGGTCAGGAGTGTGGGGCACTGGCAGAGCTGGGGGGGGGCTGAGAGTCGGGAGTGAGGGGCACTGGCAGAGCTGGGGGGCTGTTCTGTTCCCGGCCTGGCTTGGTGCTGATCTTGCGAGTGGGGTGGAGCCCCCCGTGACCTGTGTCACCCCTCCCCTGGCAGCTGAGAGCAGTGGCCCCGGGCACAGTGTTAGGGAGACCCTGGCTCTGGGGGGCTCGGCCCCCCCCGGTTCCCGAGCCCCCCATTGACTTGTCTCCGTTACTTTCTCCTAGAATTTTGTAGCCACCCTGGCTAATGGGATGAGCCTGCAGACTGCGGTAGAAGATGTAAATATCCTTTGAGTGAGGGGCCAGGCCAGGGCTCGGGGGCTAGTGACCCCCAGGGCCGGCCGGCCGTGTACATCTCCCCCGGCCTGTTCCCAGCACTGCCTGGTGACATCCCCCCGGCCCGTTCCCAGTGACAAATGCCCCCCCACCCCTGCTGGCCAGCGACCATCCCCCATTTCAACTGACCACCCTGGTCCTCGCCCTGCCCCATCTAGAGGGTTCCCTCCCTTGGCAGCCAGCCCCAGAACCCCCCTTCAGAGTCAGATAAACCATGGGGAGGGGGAACGAAGGGATCCAGAACCACCCCCCCCCCCCCCCGAAATCCCAGCTCAGAGTGTCTGCCTGCTCCACTGGCAGGTTGCGACCCATCCCCTGCACATTGCTCAGCCCTAAGGGGGGCAGTGGGTGTCCATGGGGTGGCAGAGAAGAACCTCTAGGGCCCCTGCAGTCTCCTGGGGGGCGCTCTGTGCAGGGGGGTCCCATAGGAAGCTCCTAGGGCCCCATGTTCTGTATGGGGGTTACTGGCTGGGAGTTTTTGAGGGGGCTGCGTAGTTCACTGCATGGGGGGACGGGTCGCTGCTGGGGAGGCTGAATGCATGGTTGGACCTGGGGTGGGGAGTGGCTGTTGGAGTGTGAGTGGGGCTCTGTGCCTGGGTGGGCAGGTAGCTGCTGGGGGGATGCGGGGCTCTGTGCCTGGGGGGGGCAGGTAGGTGCCAGGGGAATGGGGGGCTTTGTGCTTGGGTGGAGCAGGTAGCTACTGGGGGGAGCGGGGGCAGGTGGCTGCAGGGGAGGGAGGGGGGAACTCTGTAATTTCCCAGTTTCCTTAACTCTGTCTCCAGCCCCAGCTCCTGTGATGCATTGTGGGTGCGGTTGGTGGGGGCACGGAGGTGGGGCGCGGGGAGACCCAGCTCTGCGGGGGGCTGGAATGGGGGGGCTTGGGGCTCCGCGTCCCAGCCCTGCATTGTTCCTTCCAAACAGACACGCTCTGGGCCGCACCAGGGGAGGGGGCAGGATGGGGGGCTGGGTCCCTGGCCTTCAGCCTGGCCCCCCAGAGTGGTGCTGTCTGCTGCCAGGGGACCCCCTGTTCCACATGGGCCCTGCAGAAATGGAAGTGGTGGCACCAGGCGGGGGCTGGTGTGAGGGACTGGGGGGGATACAGGCTGGGCTGGGCCCGTGGGACAGGTCAGGGGAGTGGATACTGGCCAGACTTGGCACATGGGGCTGATGTTTAGGCTTGGGGGTGGATACAGGCCGGGCTGGGCCCATGGGGCAGATGTGGGGGCTGGATACCAGCTGGGCTGGGCCCGTGGGGCTGATGTGGGGAGTGGATATTGGCTGGGCCGGCTGTGCTTCGGCCCCATCCCTAAGGTGTGTTTGGGGGAGTCCGTCTGACTGTGGCCCCCCCCGACCCCCAGGTGTCCTGTCCCCAGGCCGAGAGCAGTGTGAAGCCCACAGCCGAGGAAATGACGTCCAAGGATTATTACTTCGACTCCTACGCCCACTTCGGCATCCACGAGGTCAGTGTGGGGGGGAGGCTGCCCCCCAGGGGCGTGGGGGGGGCAGATGTCCCCATGGGGTACTTGGTTTCATGGGCATGTCCCTGCCACTTGCCCCCGTCCCACCCCCAGGAGGAAGTGGAGGATGAGGTGCACTGGGGGGCTGGGTAGGGTTGGGGGGTCCCCCTTCCCCCCCAGGTGATGCTGAAGGACGAGGCGTGTGGGGTTGGGGGGCCCCGCTGACCCCCCTGTCCCCCCAGGAGATGTTGAAGGACCCGGGGAGGGAGCTGGAAGGGATTGTGGGGCCCCCGCTGACCCCCCCATATCCCCTCAGGAGATGCTGAAGGACAAGGGGCGCGGGGAGGGGGTTGGGTGTCCCCCCAGGAGATGCTGAAGGACGAGGAGTGCGGGGAGGGGTTGGGGGGCCCCCACTGACCCTCCCCGTGTCCCCCCAGGAGATGCTGAAGGACGAGGTGCGCGGGGAGGGGGTTGGGTGTCCCCCCAGGAGATGCTGAAGGACGAGGGTGCGCGGGGAGGGGGTTGGGCTGTCCCCCCCCAGGAGATGCTGAAGGACGAGGGGCGCGGGGAGGGGGTTGGGTGTCCCCCCAGGAGATGCTGAAGGACGAGGAGTGCGGGGAGGGGTTGGGGGGCCCCCACTGACCCTCCCCGTGTCCCCCCAGGAGATGCTGAAGGATGAGGTGCGCGGGGAGGGGGTTGGGTGTCCCCCCAGGAGATGCTGAAGGACGAGGGGCGCGGGGAGGGGGTTGGGTGTCCCCCCAGGAGATGCTGAAGGACGAGGAGTGCGGGGAGGGGTTGGGGGGCCCCCACTGACCCTCCCCGTGTCCCCCCAGGAGATGCTGAAGGACGAGGTGCGCGGGGAGGGGGTTGGGTGTCCCCCCAGGAGATGCTGAAGGACGAGGGGCGCGGGGAGGGGGTTGGGTGTCCCCCCAGGAGATGCTGAAGGACGAGGAGTGCGGGGAGGGGTTGGGGGGCCCCCACTGACCCTCCCCGTGTCCCCCCAGGAGATGCTGAAGGACGAGGTGCGCACTCTGACCTACAGAAACTCCATGTTCCACAACCGGCACCTCTTCAAGGACAAGGTGGTTCTGGACGTGGGCAGCGGCACTGGGATTCTCTGCATGTTCGCGGCCAAGGCGGGCGCCAAGCGGGTCATCGGGGTGAGTCGTCCCCCCTCCCCGCTGGGCCCCCTGACCCCTTGCTTCCCGGCCAGTCGCCTAGTCCGGTCCCCTGCGCTCACGGCAGGACTAAGTATTGTCCAGACCGTCCCTGATGGGATTTGTCCAACCCGCTCTTAAAAATCCCCAGTGACGGAGATTCCACCACCGCCCTGGGCAATTTATTCCGGTGCTTCACCAGCCTGTCAGGACGTTTCTCCTAATGTCCAACCTAAACCGCCCTGGCTGCATAAGAACGGCCACACTGGGTCAGACTCAAGGTCCATCCAGCCCAGGATCCTGTCGGCCAACAGTGGCCAATGCCAGGTGCCCCAGAGGGAGTGAACCTTACAGGTAATGATCAGTGATCTCTCTCCTGCCATCCATCTCCACCCTCTGACAAACAGAGGCTAGGGACACCATTCCTTACCCATCCTGGCTAATAGCCATGAATGGACTTAACCTCTGTGAATTTATCCAGTTCTCTTTTAAACCCTGTTATAGTCCTAGGCTTCACAACCTCCTGAGGCAAGGAGTTCCACAGGTTGATTGTGCTCTGAGTGAAGAAGAACTTCCTTTTATTTGTTTTAAACCTGCTGCCCATTAATTTCATTGCGTGGCCCCTAGTTCTAAAATTATGGGAACAAGTAAATAACTTTTCCTTATTCACTTTCTGCACAGCACTCATGATTTGATAGACCTCTATCATATCCCCCCTTAGTCGCCTCTTTTCCAAGCTGAAAAGTCCTAGCCTCTTTAATCTCTCCTCATAGGGGACCCTTAGTTGAACCTTTTCTAATGCCAGTATATTTTTTTTTGAGATGCGGGGACCGTATCTCTGTACGCCGTATTCAAGATGTGGGCATACCATGGATTTATATAAGGGCAATAAGATATTCTCTGTCTTATTCTCTCTCCCTTTTTTAATGATTGCTAACATCCCGTTTGCTTTTTTGACTGCCGCTGTGCACTGCGTGGATGTCTTCGGAGAACTATCCACGATGGCTCCAAGATCTTTCTCCTGAAAATTTAAGCCCATGGCTTCTTGTCCGATCCTCAGAGGTTCAGAAGAACAAATTTTTGTTCTCTGCTTGTAACTGCCTTTTCTGTACTTGCAAATTGTTCTCACGTCCCCGCTCCGGCTTCTCTTCTCCAGGCTAAACAAACCCTGTTTTTTTTCAATCTTCCCCCATAGCTAATGTTTTCTAGACTTTTCATGATTTTTGTTGCTCTTCTCTGGACTTTCTCCAATTTGTTCCCTCTCTCCTGCAATGTGGCGCCCAGAACTGGACCCAGTACTCCAGCTGAGACCAGATCAGCACAGAGCAGAGCGGACGATTTGCTTCTCGTGTCTTGCTGTTCACAGCAGCGTTACACTGTTGACTCTCATTCAGCTTGTGATCCACTCTGACCCCCAGATCACTTTCCGCAGGACCCCTTCCTAGGCAGTCATTGCCCTTGTGTGTGCGCATCTGATTGTTCCTTGCGAAGTGGAGAACTTCGCATTTGTCCTGACTGAATTTCATCCGATTTACTTCCGACCATTTCTCCAGTTTGTCCGGATCGTTTTGAAGTTTAATCCTATTCCCCAAAGCACTTGCAACCCCTCCCAGCTCGGTATTGTCCGCAAACTTTATCAGTGTCCTCTCTGTGCCATTATCTAAATCCTTGCTGAAGATATTGAACAGAACCGGACCCAGAACTGATCCCTGTGGGACCCCGCTCGTTATTCCCTTCCAGCCTGACTGTGAGCCCCTGATAACTACCCTCTGGCAATGATTTGCCCCCCTTTCTCTCCTCCCAGGGCCCCCCTCCCAGCCTCCCTGTTCTGCCCCTGCCCCGGGATGGGGGGCGTTGCTCTTGGGGGTTCATCTCTCCCCACTGACCCTCCCCGGCTCCGCTTATCCCAGCCCTGGCGGGGGCACGTCGTCTCCCCACTGACCCCTGCTCCCCTTGCAGATTGAGTGCTCCAGCATCTCTGACTACGCTGTCAAAATCGTCAAAGCCAACAAGCTGGACCATGGTGAGTGGGAGCCCCCCTGCCCCCCCCCCCATTGTCTTCCCTGGGGCGCTGCCCCTGGAGCTCCCACAATCCCTTGCTGTCTCCCCTGGGGTGTCCCCCTCCCCCCACGCCCTCTCCCCTGGGGTGCTGCCTCTCTGGAGCCACACCCCCCCCTTCTTGCTCCCAGGGTGCCCCCCAGAGCCTGCTCATGGCTCCTCCCACCCGGACCGGGGCGGCTCTCCCCACAGGGCCCCGCCCTGCACCTCCATAACAAGAAACAGCAGCTCATCCCCATCCTCCCTGGAGCCGCTCCCCCTCCCCCATGTCTGGCCCATCCCCCGCGCTGAGACCCCCGTCCCCTCCCCCGCAGTGGTGTCCATCATCAAGGGCAAGGTGGAGGAGGTGGAGCTGCCGGTGGAGAAGGTCGACATCATCATCAGCGAGTGGATGGGTTACTGCCTCTTCTACGAGTCCATGCTCAACACTGTCATCTACGCCCGCGACAAGTGGCTGGTGAGTCCTTCCAGGCCCCCTTCCCTGCCCCCCTGCAGCCAGCTGGGTCCCCTTCCCTGCCCCCCTGCAGCCAGCTGGGTCCCCTTCCCTGCCCCCCTGCAGCCAGCCGGGTCCCCTTCCCTGCCCCCCTGCAGCCAGCCGGGTCCCCTTCCCTGCCCCCCTGCAGCCAGCCGGGTCCCCTTCCCTGCCCCCTCGCAGCCGCCAGGCCCCTTCCCTCCCTGCCAGCCGCCCCCCTGGGGGGGACAGGCCCTGTGTCCCATTCCCTGAGCCAGCCAGTCTCCACCTTGGGGTGGGTCAGAGCTGGCGTCCCGTACAGGGGAAAGGCCCCGTGCCCCATTCCCCATCCCCCTGAGCCAGCCAGTCCCTGCCCTGGAGCCAAGTGGGAGCCGGTGCCCCCTAGACAGGAACAGGCCCCATTCCCCGCCCCCTGAGCCAGCCAGTCCCTGCCCCTTAGTGGGGCAAGGCCCTGTGTTCTGTTCTGGGGACCCTGTGCCTAGGTGCTGTGGGGGTGGGGGAGCTTTGGGGATTTTAGGGGCTGTGATGCAGTGACCCACCCCTTTCCCCCCCGCCCCGTTTGTCTCCCCAGACCCCCGACGGACTCATCTTCCCTGACCGGGCCACCCTGTATGTCACAGCCATAGAGGACCGGCAGTATAAGGACTACAAGATCCACTGTGAGTGCGGGGGCGGCAGCCCCTCTCTTGGGGGGCTGGCTAAGTGTCTGCAGGGTGCTGGTCCTGGTGACTCTCCCTGCCTGCGGGCAGTGTTGCTGTTGCTCTGTGGGGGGGGGGGGGGGTCGGTCTTGGTGTGGCCCTGGCTCTCTGTCCCTGGTGGGGGCGGGTCTCTTGTTCCGCCCCCGTGGGGTCTGCCTGACACCCCCCCCCCCAATTAAATCATAGAATATCAGGATTGGAAGGGACCTCACGAGGTCATCTAGTCCAACCCCCTGCTCAAAGCAGGACCAATCCCCAATTAAATCATCCCAGCCAGGGCTTTGTCAAGCCTGACCTTAAAAACTTCTAGGGAAGGAGATGCCACCACCTCCCTAGGGAACCCATTCCAGTGCTTCACCCTCCTCCTAGAGAAAGTGTTTCCTAATATCCAACCTAAACCTCCCCCACTGCAACTTGAGACCATTACTCCTCGTTCTGTCATCAGCTACCACTGAGAACAGTCTAGATCCATCCTCTTCGGAACCCCCTTTCAGGTAGTTGAAAGCAGCTATCAAATCCCCCCTCATTCTTCTCTTCCGCAGACTAAACAATCCCAGTTCCCTCAGCCTCTCCTCGTAAGTCATGTGTTCCAGTCCCCTCATCATTTTTGTTGCCCTCCGACGGACACTTTCCAATTTTTCCACATCCTTCTTGTAGTGTGGGGCCCAAAACTGGACACAATACTCCAGATGAGGCCTCACCAATGTTGAATAGAGGGGAACGATCACATCCCTCGATCTGCTGGCAATGCCCCTACATATACATCCCAAAATGCCATTGGCCTTCTTGGCAACAAGGGCACACTGCTGACTCATATCCAGCTTCTCGTCCACTGTCACCCCTAGGTCCTTTTCTGCAGAACTGCTGCCGAGCCACTCAGTCCTTAGTCTGTAGCGGTGCATGGGGTTCTTCCATCCTAAGTGCAGGACTCTGCACTTGTCCTTGTTGAATCTCATCAGATTTCTTTTGGCCCAATCCTCCAATTTGTCTAGGTCCCTCTGTATCCTATCCCTACCCTCCAACATATCTACCTCTCCTCCCAGTTTAGTGTCATCTGCAAACTTGCTGAGGGTGCAATCCACACCATCCTCCAGATCATTAATAAAGATATTGAACAAAACCGGCCCGAGGACCTACCCTTGGGGCACTCCACTTGATACCGGCTGCCAACTAGACATGGAGCCATTGATCACTAGCTGTTGAGCTCGACAATCTAGCCAGCTTTCTATCCACCTTATAATCTGTTCATCCAGGCCATGCTTCTTTAACTTACTGGCAAGAATACTGTGGGAGACCATGTCAAAAGCTTTGCTAAAGTCAAGGAACAACATGTCCACCGCTTTCTCCTCATCCACAGAGCCAGTTATCTCGTCATAGAAGGCAATTAGATTAGTCAGGCATGACTTGCCCTTGGTGAATCCATGCTGACTGTTCCTGATCACTTTCCTCTCCTCTAAGTGCTTCAGAATTGATTGCTTGAGGACCTGCTCCATGATTTTTCCAGGGACTGAGGTGAGGCTGACTGGCCTGTAGTTCCCAGGACCCTCCTTCTTCCCTTTTTTAAAGATGGGCACTACATTAGCCTTTTTCCAGTTGTCCAGGACTTCCCCGGATCACCATGAGTTTTCAAAGATAATGGCCAGTGGCTCGGCAGTCACATCCGCCAACTCCTTTAGAACTCTTGGATGCAGCGCATCCAGTCCCATGGACTGGTGCACGTCCAGCTTTTCTAAATAGTCCCGAACCACTTCTTTCTCCACAGAGCGCTGGTCACCTCCTCCCCATGCTGTGCTGCCCAGTGCAGCAGTCTGGGAGCTGACCTTGTTCGTGAAGACGGAGGCAAAGAAAGCATTGAGTACATTAGCTTTTTCCACATCCTCTGTCACTAGGTTGCCTCCCTCATTCAGTAAGGGGCCCACACTTTCCTTGACTTTCTTCTTGTTGCCAACATACCTGAAGAAACCCTTCTTGTTACTCTTAACATCTCTTGCTAGCTGCAACTCCAGGTGTGATTTGGCCTTCCTGATTTCACTCCTGCATGCCCGAGCAATATTTTTATACTCTTCCCTGGTCATTTGTCCAATCTTCCACTCTTGTAAGCTTCTTTTTTGTGTTTAAGAGCAGCAAGGATTTCACTGTTAAGCCAAGCTGGTCGCCTGCCATATTTACTATTCTTTCTACACATCGGGACGGTTTGTCCCTGTAACCTCAATAAGGATTCTTTAAAATACAGCCAGCTCTCCTGGCCTCCTTTCCCCCTCACGTTGTTCTCCCAGGGGAGCTTGCCCATCAGTTCCCTGAGGGAGTCAGTCTGCTTTTCTGAAGTCCAGGGTCCGTATTCAGCTGCTCTCCTTTCTTCCCTGTGTCAGGATCCCGAACTCGACCATCTCATGGTCACTGCCTCCCAGGTTCCCATCCACTTTTGATTCCCCTACTAATTCTTCCTGGTTTGTGAGCAGGTCAAGATGAGCTCTGCCCCTAGTTGGTTCCTCCAGCACTTGCACCAGGAAATTGTCCCCGCACTGCTGTGTTGCTCTCCCAGCAGATATCGGGGTGATTGATTCCTGGCTGCAGCCGTCGCCCCTGCACCCCAACCCTCTGCCCCAGCCCTGAGCCCCTCCCGCACCCCAAACCCCTCATCCCCAGCTCCATTGGGTCAGGCATCAACAGTTTTCTTCAACGTGGTCGCCAGAAAAAAAGTTTGAAAACTAGTGGGTTAAAGCAACCCAGACACCCACGGCAGGTATGCGGGGGGGTCACTGAAAATCTTATTCATCATCTAAGAAAGTTCAACCAGCCCCAGAGGATGGGACACATCACCTCCCAGGTTAACGAATCTTCCAGTCTTACCCAAATACACGCTTTCCGCCAATTCTTAACAACTAAACGAAAAAATTTTAAGAAAAGAGAGAATTTGTTAAAAGGTCAGTGCACATACAGGCATGAATACAGCTCTGAGATCAGATTCACCTCAGAGGTGATGAGCTTTGTAGTTGCTAAGCATTCTTGCAGAATTAGTCCGTAGGTTATAGTCCAATGTCCATATTCAGGGTGTCACGGACTCTCAGGTCGTGCCCACTCTTGGCCCCGTGCGGTCCCTGCGGGGAATCCCTTTCAGTGTGACAGCCCTTCTCGGGAGTTAAGCCCCTCCGCCTCCTGGAACTGCACCTTAGCACGCCTGTCTCTGCCGTGGGCCCCCTCAGGGAGTCCCCTCGCTCTGGACCCTGGGGCCTCCACTCCCAGAGGGAATAATGCCCCCCTGTTCTCTAGCCCAGAGTGACTCTCAGCCAGCGTAAAACAGGAGGGTTTATTGAGCATCTGAACCCAGCACAGGAAACTCTCTGGGTCGCAGGCCTGGCCTCCCTCAGCCCAGCACATCCCAGTCTCTCCTGCATCCAGGTGGACTCTGCCTGCTCCCCTCTCCAGCCCCGAGCCCCCCTGCTTCCCAGCTGGGCAGCTGAGATCACCGGCCCCAAGCCCCCCTCTGTCTATTGTCTTCTCTCCAGGTAAACAGGGTCGCCTGAGCCCCCTCTCCTGTCCTCTGGCTGGTCAGGTCACCGGGGTCCTCTCTTCACAGCCCATTGTCCTCCCACTGGCCAGAACCGGCTGTGACCTCCAAGCTGGGCCTCCCGGCCACCAGTCGCTGGGGTCTCCGTTCTCCAGGCCATTGGCTGGGGTCCCAAGTCCCTCGCGGTCCCCTGTACCAACAAACTCCCTCTCCCATCACCTCCTTAAACCAGTAACATGCAGGGAAACTTGAGTCCCACCCCCTTGGCATGCAAACCATTGGAAAAACCAGGAACCCCCCCCCCACCTCCTCACACAGGGTGATCCAGATTGGACTGGATATCTGGCCCCTGACTTAATCTTCCCCTGCAGGAAGCATCAAGAAGATCTGAGAGAAAATGATCAGGACCCAAGGGGTTTTTATATAGCTCCAGGCCTTCTCTGGACAGCTTGGAGTCCTTAGGGGAACAATAGGCAATCATGGAGACTTTGAAGTAGCCCTGTTTCCTATGCATCCCCGGTAATTAGCTACACATATTAACATAAGGCAGTTGATCCATTAGGCAGTTTATCACGGACTTTAAAGAGACATAGAGACAAGTCATCTAAATGTTAATATTCCCTTTTGATCTCTGAATCAAGAGCCTTAGTGACAGACAGGTGCTCTTTGTTTATGTGGCTAACATCTAATCAGATGTAAGTAAACACACACAATTAGGATCACCCCCAATTCTCTAACAGTCCAGGTTTGCTCTGCAGAGTTGGAGCCTATCTAGCACAGAATGGCCCTAATTACCATTTACACACTTTTCTAAGGTATTTGGGTCATTTATCCTGCAGGGGGCTTAACCCTTTCTGGCCCCGTGTCACACTGTATAAGATTTGTTGCCGTTATAGCCACGGCATGGTCCCTCCTCTAATCCGATAACGTCTCCTCCGCCAGGGTGGGAGAACGTCTATGGCTTCGACATGTCCTGCATCAAGGACGTGGCCATCAAGGAGCCGCTGGTGGACGTGGTGGATCCAAAGCAGCTGGTCACCAACGCCTGCCTCATCAAGGTGCAGCCCGGGGGACAGGCCTGCCCCTGGCAAGGGGGCCATGCAAGGGGGTGGATGCCAGGGGATGCAATTCCAGCCTGTGGAACTCCCTGCCACTGGATGGCACTGGGGCTGAGAGTCCCCCTCTGCCCGGCTTTTGCCACCCACCAGGGAGCCCCCCAGACAGGGTCTGGCGTTGGGGGTGTTATGCATCTCTGGGGCGGGGGGGGGGGGAGTGTGTGTGTGGGGGCAGCGCTGACCCCGCTCCTCCCGCAGGAGGTCGACATCTACACGGTGAAGGTGGAAGACCTGACGTTCACCTCGCCCTTCTGCCTCCAAGTGAAGCGCAATGACTACATCCACGCGCTCGTGGCGTATTTCAACATCGAGTTCACCCGTTGCCACAAGCGGACCGGCTTCTCCACCAGTACGGCCCGGGCGGGGCCAGGGGGCGGGGACTCTGGGTGAGGGGCGGGGCCACGGGAAGGGACTAAGGGGTAGTGTTGGGGCAAAGGAGGGGATGGGAACTGGGGGTTGGGCTTGGGTAGGGGGCAGGGCCAAGGGATAGGACTCTAGGGGAGGGGTGGGGCTGGCCCTAGGCCCCTTCCCCTGACCCCCTCTTCGCTCCCCCAGGCCCCGAGTCGCCCTACACCCACTGGAAGCAGACGGTGTTCTACATGGAGGACTACCTGACGGTGAAGACGGGCGAGGAGATCTTCGGCACCATCAGCATGAAGCCCAATGCCAAGAACAACGTGAGTGACGGGCTGGGGGGCACCGGTGGAGATGCCCATATCTGGGCTCATGGGGGGGAGCCCCACACACACACACCCAGGTTCTGAAGAGCTGGATTGTGGCCCCGTGATGGTCCTCTAAAGGGCATTGCCCTGTGGAACTCCCTGCTACTGGATTCTGAAGCAGAGAGGGGGATGGGGGGCCAGTGCAGTGTACGCTGGGAGGCAGGGAGTGGTGGGCCAGACCCCCATGACTTACCCCACCACCCCATCTCTCCCCTGCAGCGGGACCTGGACTTCACCATCGACCTGGACTTCAAGGGCCAGCTGTGTGAGCTGTCCTGCTCGACGGATTACCGCATGCGCTAGCCCCCCATGTCCGCCCCCCATTGTGCTGTGTGCCCCCCCGGGGCGGGCCCAGAGCCGTGGGCGCCGGCCACGACTCCCCTTCTCATGGCGAGGGGGGGCACAGAGCTGCCGCTGACTCTCCCCTCCCTGCGTGGCCCTTGGCGGGGGGGGGGACGGACACTATCTCCCTCTGCCTTGGGGCCCCCCCATCCCTCCCTCCCGTCTGCTTTTAAACCAGCGACCCCCCCCCCCAGTAACAAGTACCTCACTGCCCCCCCCCCCCCCACACACACACACTCTGCTGTGCCGTGGGGCACCCACGAGAGGTGCCAGGGCCTGGCTGAGTCCCTCTGCTCCGGTGGGGGGGTGGGGCTGCCCTGTTTTTTAGCGGAGGGAGGGCAGGGCAGGGCAGGGGCGCTATGGGGAGGGTCCCCAGTTTGTGTTTTGCTGACGGTTCTGGTCTCTAATCCCCCCCCCCCTTTTACCCCCGCCCGGTTGATACATCGTGACTGTTTCATAAGTTATGTTTTTATATGGTTACATTCATGAGAAAATAAAGAGATGAAATGGGGCCCCTGGCTGCCTGGGGAGGGATGGGGGCCCCCAAACTGTGACCCCCCATGGCTTCCTGGGTAGGGTGGGCCTGGCATGCCTAAACTGGCTCCTGCTGCTCTGTACCCCAAAAACCTGCCTGCGGTGGGGCACCCTGCGGGCCCCCAGCCTCTATCCTACTCCGCAAGGGGTGGGCTCCCTAATAGCAGGGGGCAGGGCCCCCCTGCAGCCCTTTGTCCCAGAACCCTCCTGGCAGGGAGGTGGGGGGCTCCCCTCTCGGGGCAGCCCCCCAGGTGCCATTAGGAGCTGTACGGCTACAATGGCAGAGTTGTATCTGCTGGAGGTGGGGGCAGAACACAGGCATCCTGGCTCCCGCTGTACTAAGTGGTAGCTGTGTGGTGATTGGGGGGCCCCCTGTGGGGGTGTGGCTTAGAGCTGGGGGCTCTGTCACCCCTGAGCCCTGGCTGCCCATTGTGGCCACTCATCCAGGAAGTGGGGTCTCACAGGGCGTGGAGGTGGCATCTTTGGGTAGGGGCTTCCTGGACACCCCCCAATCTAGAAAAATACCCAGGGGTGGGAGCTGCCCTCAGCCTGGTCCACCCCCCTTTGTGGGGCCCCAGTGCTGCCCTGTCTGTGCCCCCCTAGCCTGGCACAGGGGGATGCTGAGCTCTGTCTGGGGGAAGGGTCTGGGCGGTGCCTGGTGTGGGCCCTGATCTCAGTGCGGGTGGGGGTTGGGAGTTGCCTCTCATGGCCTGGGACCCCCATGGTGGAGGGGCTGCCCCCTCAAGAGCCGGTGCCTGCACTGTGGGGCTTCCACTGAGACTATAAGAGATGCCAGGTACAGACCAACTGAGGGGGGAGAGCACCCCCCCCCCCCCAGCTAGCTAAGGGGCACACGTGGCGGGGGGTGTTTGTTTCCCATGGAAGCTGAGAATCCCAGGGCTTTGCGGTGCCCCCCAAGGGCTGCCCCCATGGGGGGGGGGGGGTCACTGATTCTCAGGCCCAAAGGCCCCATGTAGGAATCTGCCTGCGGCTGCCCTCCCACCGCCAGGCTGCCAAGCCTGTGCACTCAGATTTGTTGCCCTCTCTAGGGACCTGCCACCAGTCTCTGCCCCCCTGCACCTGCCCTGGGGGGGAGCGGCCAAGCTAGGCTCCTGGCATCACTTTAAGGCAGGTTTTCTGGGAACTCACCAGACTCATCCCCGGCCTCCTGGAATTGGGGCCCTGGGTGCCCCAAGGCCGAAGCCAATTGCTGCTCTGTGACACGCCCGTGGCCCCCTGGGAGCTCGGGTTCGGCCACCATTCGCTGCGCCCAGACGTTTACATTTCCCTGGAGCCGTGTTTAAACACGCTGGGGGCTCGGGCCCTGCCGATCCGGATTGCTCTGTAGGACTGACTTGCTCTAGGTGGGTAACTCACCTCGCCCCCAAGTTTGGGGTCATCTGCAGCCTTTAGGGGGGCTGGTTTCGTGTTTTCCTCCAACTTCTTGGTAAAAACATTACCCCGCACAGGGCCACGACCAGTTCCTTGCGGGACACCCCGAACATGCCTGACGATTCCCTGCCTAGAACTCTGTTGGGAGCCCGCGCAGCCAGTGTTCAATCTGTTTAACAGGGACCATGTTAATTTTATATGGGTCTCGTTTTTAATCAAACTGGCCCTGTGTACCAAGGCAAACACCTCAGCACAATTACCTCGCCACAAGTTAGTTTGATGAGCTGGTTTTCATAAACCCGTGTTCATTGGCATTAATGGCATCACCCACCTCTCAGTTGTTATTAATCGAGTTACATATCAGCATCACTGTTATCTTGCCCGGATCAACGTCTGGCTTCAATTACCTGGGTCCGCCCATTTACCCTTTTTCAATATTAGCACAACACTGGCTTTCATCCTGTCTTCTGGCACTTCCCAAGTGTGCTGAGACATTGGAAAAAAGCAACAGTAATGGTCCAGCAAGCTCCTCGGCCAGCTCTTTTAAAACTCTTGGATGGACGTTATCTGGACCTGATTTAAAAATATCTCACTTCAATAGCTGCTGTTCACCAGCCTCTGGAGATACTAGTGGAATGGAAAGTGTTATCATGAATTATGACTACATTTTTTTTTTACTCAAATACAGATCAGAAATATTGAACAATTCTGTCTTTTCTGCATTATTATTGCTATTTTAAGTGTTCATCTAGGAGTGGACCAATACCACTAATATACTTAAAATAACTCTTTCAGTGTCCTTAATTATGCTGGCCATGGATGTCTCCTGGTGTCCTTTTCCTTCCCTTATCAATTTTCTACAATTCCTAATTGCTGATTATTATTAGCAACTACCCCTTGCTTCCATTTGTTACATTATTTCATAGGTCCTTTTGCTTCCCCTTTCAATTAGGCTGTTTTATTTTTTAAAACCCATCCAGCCTTTCTCGCTCCTGGCTTTTTGGACAGCCCGTTAAATGTTTTCGAACGATCCTCCATTTCGGTTTGAAACTTTCCTCCTAGCTGCTTTGCCTCAGAATTGTTTCTGGCTTTGTGAAATCAGCCCCAGCTGGGACAGGGCTGGACTCTGCTTGCACGTTATAAATGTGATCACATCCCCATCACTTGTGCCACCAACACAGTTTAGTCCGGTGATCCTGTTCTGCTTTATGCGGCTACCCTTGGACCCGCCGGGGGGGGTTGCAACGCTTCAAGTTAGCAAATTGTCAGCTCTAGTTTTAGGAAGTCCAGGGGCAGTTGGTTTGGGCGGCAGGGGACCAGGGTTCTAGATCTAGCCCGTGTGTTCCAGAGCCACCAGCAGGATTTGCCCTGCTGGGTTCCAGATCAACGCCCTGCGTTTATCCGCTGCCGTGCTTCGGACCCCCTCCGGTTCTAGATCGGGTTCTAGATGGATGCCTGCGTCTATGGGCTGGCGCATGGTCTAGATCCACACCCCTGTTCTGGAGCCCCAGGCCCATTCCCCGGTGATCTGCAGCTACCTCTGCCAGCACCCCCTTGTAGTTTTCCAGAGCCCCCACCTCACCTTTTCCAACCGTCTTTCCAGGTTATCAGCAACAGAATTAAGATGGCACATTTCCCACCCCCACCCCCTTAACTCTGCCCCCACTGGGCAGCCATCCCCTTAACTCTGCCCAACAGACCTGGAACCTCCATCATGAAATCACCAGACACATCTTTGTATGGCCTGGTGTGGGGAGGGGCTCCTGGCTGCAGGACGGAGGGGGGGGCGGGGAAGGGGCACTAGGGAGACACAGGCTTAGTGGGGGGAGGGCTGGGGGGAAAAACAGGCTGCAGACACAGGTGCGCCTCTGGCGGGGGGTTTATTGCAGGGAGGCAGCGCTTCCCCCGCGCTGAAGCATCAGGTTAGATCCGGCAGCGAGGACTCGGGACCCGGCCCGGGGGGCCCATCGTGCTGCCTCCCCGCCCCCCGGCGGGTGCTATTTCTCCAGGGGGGCGTAATTCAGCAGCTTCTCGATCAGATCCACGTGGGACAGGAGCATCCGCCGGCAGCAGTATCGCTTCAGCCCCAGGGCGTCCAGGGCGTCCCTGGGCGGAGAGAGAGAGACAGGGCTGGGGGGGGCTGCGGGCCTGGAGTGGGGCTCACCGGCCGGGTTGCGGGGGGGCTGCGGGTCGGGAGTGGGGCGCACCGGCCGGGCTGCGGGTCGGGAGTGGGGCGCACCGGCCGGGCTGCGGGTCGGGAGTGGGGCGCACCGGCCGGGCTGCGGGGGGGCTGCGGGTCGGGAGTGGGGCGCACCAGCCGGGCTGCGGGTCGGGAGTGGGGCGCACCGGCCGGGCTGCGCGGAGGGCTGCGGGCCTGGAGTGGGGCGCACCGGCTGGGCTGCGGGTCGGGAGTGGGGCGCACCGGCCGGGTTGCGGGGGGGCTGCGGGTCGGGAGTGGGGCGCACCGGCCGGGCTGCGGGGGGGCTGCGGGTCGGGAGTGGGGCGCACCGGCCGGGCTGCGGGGGGGGCTGCGGGTCGGGAGTGGGGCGCACCCCGCTTACCCCTCTGTGTACTCCGCCTGCAGCAGCCCCAGATACGCTTCCCACTTGTTGCCCACCACCTTCCCGCAGGTGAAGCACCGGACCGGGATGATCATCCTGGGGGGGGAGAGACACTGAGCTGGGAATAGCGGGGGGGGGAGCGACCCCCGGCCCCAGAGACCCCCCCAATCCCCCGTCCCTTTGCACCCAACAGCCTCTGCCCCCCAGCACCCGCGAGGGGCCCGGGGGGGGGGGAGTCGGACACTCACCCTGCCCCCCCCCAGCAGCCGCGAGGGGCCCGGGGGGGGAGTCGGACACTCACCCTGCCCGCCCCCACAGCCGCGACGGGCCCGGGGGGGGGGAGTCGGACACTCACCCTGCCCCCCCCACAGCCGCGAGGGGCCTGGGGGGGGGAGTCGGACACTCACCCTGCCCCCCCACAGCCGCTAGAGGCCCGGGGGGGGGGAGTCGGACACTCACCCTGCCCCCCCCCACAGCCGCGAGGGGCCTGGGGGGGGGAGTCGGACACTCACCCTGCCCCCCCACAGCCGCTAGAGGCCCGGGGGGGGGAGTCGGACACTCACCCTGCCCCCCCCCCAGCCGCGAGGGGCCTGGGGGAGGGGTCTCACCCTGCCCCCCACAGCCGCTAGAGGCCCGGGGGGGAGTCGGACACTCACCCTGCCCCCCCCCCAAGCCGCGAGGGGCCTGGGGGGGGGGAGTCGGACACTCACCCTGCGCAGCCCCCAGCGCTCAACTCGCCTCCCGCTGCGGCCGCTTGTTTTTGTCGGGTCGGCGCCGGCCGCTAGGGGGCGGCGGGGGGTGGGGCCAGCGGCGGGGGGAGGGGCAGATTCAGCCTCCTGCGCGCGGGGTTACGGGGGGGCGGCGGGGCAGATTGGGGGGCTCAGGAGGACGGGTCTGAACCCGGAAACCTGCCCCCCCACCTGGAACCGAACAGCCCCGGAGCCCCCCCCTTCAGCCCGTCACCCCCAATTCCCCCGCGGCCCCCCCGGCCCCCATAAGCTTTTCCCCTCCCCCATAGACCCCCCCAACATCTCCCCCTCCATCCCCTTCCCCAGCCCCCGCCCCCAGAGACCCCCATCCCCTCCCCTATACACCCGAAGCCCCAGATCCCGCCCCCAGAGACCCCCCAGCCCCTCCCCCATACAGCCCCAGCCCCTCCACCTCCAGCCCCTTCCCCAGATCTCGCTCCCAGAGACCCCCAGCCCCTCCAGTCCCTTCCCCAGATCCCTCCCCCATACACGCCAGCCCCTCCCTCTCCAGCCCCTTCCCCAGACCCCGCCCCTCCTATTCCCTCCCCTCCCATTTCCTCCCCCCTGCTGAGCCTGGAATTTCCCCCCATCCACCCTGCCCCCCCCCCGTGGCCGAGCGAGCAGCACCCGCACTTTAGGGGGCTCCAGCAGCGCCCCCCGACCCCGCCCGGGGGCCCAGGTGAGGGGCGGCGCGACGCCCAGGGACCCGCTGAGAACGTTTGGCGCGGGGGGGGGGGCAGCGGATGCGATGGGGGGGGGCTGCTAGGACGGAACTTTCCAGCCCCCAAACTCCATGGAACTCGGGGGGCCGGGCGGGGGGCCACAACATCTCCACTTGCTCCCCCCGGGGAAGGGTGATATTCTGGGCAAACCGCCCCCCCTCCTCCCGCAGCTTCCCTGGGCCCAGTGGATCTGGGGACGGACGAGGGGACCCAGAACCCCCACGTGCTCCAGTCCCCCGGGACTAACAGGGAATGGGGGGGGCAAGGGAACCAGGATGGGTCACTGCCCCCCCCCCCGCCAGGTCAGGGACCAGCTGAGAGGCGAAGGGGAACCGAGCAAAGTGGGGTGGGGGGAGCCCGGGGCTGGGCTAGCAGGAGGCTGCAGGTCAGGAATGAGGGGCACCGGCAGGGTGGAGGGGCCCCCCCGAGGTGCTGCCCCCCAACACCCGGCTCTGCTGTCCCCCCACCCCCAGGTTCCTGCACTATGGGCCCGACCCAGCGCTGCCTCTTCTGTCTCAAGCTGGAGCTTTTCATCTTCAACTTGATCTTCTGGGTGAGTCTCGGCTGCGAGCGTCCCTGCAGCAGTGCCCGGGGGGGCAGCTGGGGGGCGCTGGGTGGGGACTTGTGGCTGGGTGCCCCTGACCCCCCCCAGCTGGGGGGGCTGTGTCACGCCGGGCAGGGGGCTGGGGGGCACCGGGCAGGGGGCTGTGGCCAGGTACCCCTGACTCCCCCCAGCTGTGGGGGCGCTGGGCATGGGGCTGTGGGGCACTGGGCATGGGGCTGTGGTTGGGTCCCCTGACCCCCCCAACTGTGGGGCACTGGGCTGTGGCTGGGTCCCCTAACCCCCCCCAACTAGGGGGCTGTGGGGCACTGGGTGTGGGGCTAGGGGGCTGTGGGGCGCTGGGCTGTGGCTGGGTCCCTGACCCCGCCCCCCCCCAGCTGGGGGGCTGGGGGGCGCCGGGCGGGGGGCTGTGGCCAGGTACCCCTGACTCCCCCCCAGCTGTGGGGCGCTGGGCGTGGGGCTGTGGGGCACTGGGCATGGGGCTGTGGTTGGGTCCCCTGACCCCCCCAACTGTGGGGCACTGGGCTGTGGCTGGGTCCCCTAACCCCCCCCAACTAGGGGGCTGTGGGGCACTGGGTGTGGGGCTAGGGGGCTGTGGGGCGCTGGGCTGTGGCTGGGTCCCCTGACCCCGCCCCCCCCAGCTGGGGGGCTGTGGGGCCCTGGGCGTGGGGCTCTGGCTTGCTCTCTCGCAGGGCCGGTTCTCCACCCTGTCGCTCTCGCTCCCGTCCCTGGGGGTCGCCGGGCTGGTGATGGCCGCGGGGGCTGTGGTGATGGCCCTGGGCTTCCTCGGCTGTCTGGGGGCCGCCACCGAGCAGCGCTGCCTCCTGCTGACGGTAGGGCCGGGGGCTGGACAAGTTGGGGGGCTGGGTGCAAGCTGGGGGGCAGGGCGCTCCACCTGTGGGGTAGGCCGGGGGCGGATACCGAGAGGGAGGTGTGGGTTACGAGTGGGGGGTCGAGCAGGGGGGTCGGGCGGGGGGGCAGGCGGCATGTGGTGGGGGTGGTTTGGGGGGTACGTGGGGAGGCTGGGGGGGCTGCCTGCAGGGGAGGGAGCACAAGGGGAGGGGAGAGGGATTACGGGCAGGGGGCGGTACAGGCGGGGGCTATGTGGTGGGGGTGGCTTGGGGGGTACGTGGGGAGGCTGCCTGCAGGGGAGGGGGAACAAGGGGGGGGTTAGGGGCAGCGGGGAGCCTGGGACCCCCCCACTGCTGAGTGGGGAGGAGGGTCCCCCCGGCTTCCCTGGGGGGGGCTCTGATCCATCTCCCACTCCCCCAGTTCTTTGTGGTTCTCCTCACCATCGTCCTGCTGGAGCTGAGCGGGGGCCTGGCCTTCTACGCCTGCCGGGGGCAGGTAAGGGGGCACCCCCCGTCTCTCCTCCCCCCACTGCATGGACCCCCCCGGCCCCTCCCCCTGTTTACTGCCCCCCTGGCCGACCTGCTCTGGGTCTCAGTTTGACAGATACGCTCAGGACGACCTGAAGTTGGGGCTGCGGCGATACGGGGCCCCAGGGGAGCCGGGGCTGACCCAGGCCTGGGACACGGTGCAGACTGAGGTGAGTCCCCCCCCCGGCACCCTGCAGTCCCCCCCATCAGTCCCCCCTCCCCCAGTGTCTGACGCTCCTCTTCCCCCCAGTTCCGGTGCTGCGGGGTGCAGAATTACACCGACTGGTTTGAGGTGCGCAATGGGACGGGGGTGCCCCAGTCCTGCTGCCTGGAGCACGGCACCCCCTGCTCCGGCATCGGCGCCGCCTGGTGGCAGGAGGTGAGTGCCCCTCCCTGCCCTTAACAGCCCCCCCAGAACACCCCCCACACACCCCCACCCCGTCTCCTGTGGCTCGGCGGGGCTAGGGCACAGTGGGAGGGGTGGCTGGTCACTGGGGCCGGGTAACACCCGGGGGGAGGGTGCAGCCAGTCGCTATGGCCAGGTAATGCCCAGGGGGAGGGGTGGCTGGTCACTATGGCTGCGTAAGGCCCTGGGGGGAGGGGTCAGCCGGTCAGTATTGCCAGGTAACAGCTTGGGGGGAGGGAGTACCTGGTCGGTACAGCCGGGTACTGTCTGGGCAGGAGGGGGTGGCTGGTCACTATTGCTGGGTAATGTCTGGGACGGTGAACGGGTGGACGGTCAATCCAGCCCGGTAATGCCCCAAGGGATAAGGGGGCAGCTGGTCACTGTGGCCAGGTAATGCCCAGAGGGGACGTCCAGTCAGTCCATCTGGGTAACACCTGGGGGGAAGGGGGCAGTTGGTCATTATGGCTGAGTAATGCCTGGGACGAGGAGGGGGCGGCCATTGGTTCAGCCGGGTAAGGCCAGAGGAGGGGTCGGTCGGTCAGTAGGGGTGGGTAAGGCCCAAGGAGCGGGCGGTCCCTATGGCCCACGGGGGGGGGGGTGGGTCGGTATGCCCGGGTAAGGCCTGAGGAGGGGGCGGTCCCTATGCCTGGGTAAGGGTAGCTGGTCACTACAGCCGGGTAAGGCCCAAGGAGGGCGCGGTCCCTACGGTTGGGTGAGGAGGGGGCAGTCAGTATGGGTGGATAAGGCCACAGGAGGGGCCAGTCAGTATGGGTGGATAAGGCCCGAGGAGAGCATGGTCCCTATGGGCGGGTGAGGCCCGAGGAGGGCGCGGTCCCTACGCCCAAGTGAGGAGGGGGCAGTCAGTATGGGTGGATAAGGCCTGAGGAGAGCATGGTCCCTATGGGCGGGTGAGGCCCGAGGAGGGCGCGGTCCCTATGCCCGGCTGAGGAGGGGGCGCTCAGTATGGGTGGATAAGGCCCGAGGAGGGCGCGGTCCCTACGCCCAAGTGAGGAGGGGGCAGTCAGTATGGGTGGATAAGGCCTGAGGAGGGCGCGGTCCCTACGCTCGGGTGAGGAGGGGGCGGTCAGTATGGGTGGATAAGGCCCGAGGAGGGCACGGTCCCTACGCTCGGGTGAGGAGGGGGCGGTCAGTATGGGTGGATAAGGCCCGAGGAGGGGGTCCCTACGCTCGGTGAGGAGGGGGCGGTCAGTATGGGTGGATAAGGCCCGAGGAGGGCGCGGTCCCTACGCTCGGGTGAGGAGGGGGCGGTCAGTATGGGTGGATAAGGCCCGAGGAGGGCGCGGTCCCTACGCTCGGGTGAGGAGGGGGCGGTCAGTATGGGTGGATAAGGCCCGAGGAGGGCGCGGTCCCTACGCTCGGGTGAGGAGGGGGCGGTCAGTATGGGTGGATAAGGCCCGAGGAGGGCGCGGTCCCTACGCTTGGGTGAGGAGGTGGCGGTCAGTATGGGTGGATAAGGCCCGAGGAGGACACGGTCCCTACGCTCGGGTGAGGAGGGGGCGGTCAGTATGGGTGGATAAGGCCTGAGGAGGGCGCGGTCCCTACGCTCGGGTGAGGAGGGGGCGGTCAGTATGGGTGGATAAGGCCCGAGGAGGACACGGTCCCTACGCTCGGGTGAGGAGGGGGCGGTCCCTAAGGCCAGGTAAGGCCCGCGGAGGGCACGGTCGGAACTGCTCTCCGGCTCTCACGTACTAGCCAGCACGGATTCGTGACGACCCCACGGCGCCGGGCCGCCCTGATCGGCGCCCTCGCGGGGCAGGGGCCGCCGGAGACGCGCCCGATCTGGCAGTCAGGGAGGCGTTTGCTGCCATCCCAGGGGCCTGGCTCGTAGCAAACTGGGGCCGGACCCTTCAGAAATAGCGCCGGCCCCGGGGCCCGGTCGAGCGTTTTATGAACAATGGGATGATGGGAAGGCGAATTTGGCTCGGAAATCGGCCCCCAGCGGCCGGCCCCGCCCGGTGAGGTGACACCGGCTCCCCCACTGAACGGGGCCCGGCGACAGCGGCTCAGGTGGTCCCAGTCTGCGTTCCCGGGGGGGGGGGGGGCAGTCCAGGGCCAGGGCCAGTCCAGGGCACTGCACCTCAGGCAGAGGGGAGTAACATGACAGGGCAGAGGGCCTGGCCGTGGGGAGGGGCGATCTGGGGGGAGGAGGGGGGAGTGGAGCCGCCAGCAGGATCCCGGCCCGGGTCAGGCAGGGGCCTGGCTCAGTGAGCCCCCAGTTTCTGTGATTCTCCCATTCTCCAGCCCTGCTACGAGAAGGTGAAGTCCTGGGTGGGGGAGAACGTCTGGGCCCTGGGCATTTTCGCTGCCTGCATTGCTGTCGTCCAGGTGAGGGGGACCTGGGGCGAGGGGGGGCCCCCGGGGAGATCCCCAAAGCTCTATGAGAATTGGAAAAGGGACCAAAGGCACAGTGGGGGCTGGCCCAGCTTTGGGGTGAGGGGAGGTGAAAAGGCCATGGGGGGGGATGCACCGGGGTGGGGGGAAGTGGGGGGCGTTATTCACCCGTCACCTGACCCACGAACCAGGGGTCACCTGCTGCCGTTAAGAGGCAGCGGGTTTAAGACACACCTAAGGCTTCACCCAACGCCCCATTAACTGGCGGAACTCCCTGCCGGGGGATGTTGCGATGCCCGCAGGACGTGTGGCTCAGAGAAGAATGAGATCGGTTTCTGGAGGCTAGGGCCAGTGCTGGCTGGTAGCCAGGACGGGCAAGGACGCAGATCCCCCGGTAAATCGCCCAGGTGCATTTGCTGGCCCCCTCACCTCACCCTCCTCTTTCTCTTCTAGGTCCTGGGCCTTGTCTCCTCCATGCTGATGTACTGCCAAGTGCTGAAGGTGGAGAAATACTACCACTGACAGGGGGGGCCTGGAGTCTGCCCCCCCCCAGTCCCTTTTACACCTGTTCCCCCTACCAGCCTGGCCTCCCATCACCAACAGAGCAAGGGGTGAACCCCAGCCCCCTCCCTCCCGCTTACAGAGCCTGGTGGGAGTCACATCCTACAGCAGGGGCTTGAAGTCCAGGCGGGCGTGAGACCATTCTCCCCAGCCCACTAATATGCCCCTGCGGCTGAGATGCGGTGGTGGGTAGTTCCACTGGCTTGGGTGGGGGTGGGGGCCACAGAGAGCCCTCTGCCACCCCCAGGCCTGTTTGGTTCCCCCATGGAGGACAGCCCCCCCCACATTTCTGCTATCCTGCCCCATGCCCAACACAATAAATGGTTCTGTGTCTGGCATCTGGCTCCGGCTCTGCCTGGGGGAAGGGGGTAGAGAGGGGCTAGGAGCTCACACACCCTGGGAAGCAGAGACCCCCCCCAGCCCTCTGGTTGTCACCCCCCCCCCCAAAATCAGAGGCACCAAGGGCTGAAGCTGGTAAAAGTTGGCATCTTTTTATTGGCCAACAAGGGGATGGAGGGGCGGGGCTCCCCGCGCCCTGACCCACCAATCATCTTTGGACAAAAATAAAGGGGCAGGGCCAGGGCCCCTGAACATCTGGTACAAAAGAAGGGGTTGGGGGGGGGGTCCGGGCCAGGGACCCTCTGGGGTCAGGTACCGAGGCTGGGCTCGGAAAACCAGCCCCTGCCTTTCCTCTCAAAGGAGGGGGCAGTTCCCTCCACCCCCCAAAAATTAGGGTGTCAGTTCTGGGGGGCAGGGGGGAGAAGTCTCTCCTGGAGGCTGACAGCAGAGCCCCCCCCCCCCATAGGGGGGTTTGGGGAAACTGCCCCCCTTTTCCGGGGGAACAGCTCATGTGCAAATGGAGGGCCTTACAAAAATCTCTTAAGACACTTTGGGGGAAGGCGGGGGGGGCAGTGTCCCCTGTAGTGTGTGGAGGGGGCACCAGGGGGTGCTCCCCTCTCAGTAGCTGTAGTGCTGGGGGGACCGGAGGGGCTCCCCACCACATCTGCTGCTGCGGGAGGGGATGGAGTGTGGAGGGGGAGGGACACAGCCCCCCCCCCCCCCCCATCATCTCCCCGCAACCCTTGTGATCCTGTAGCGTGAGCAGTCAGCTAATATCCCCCCGCAGCTTGGATGCACCGGCTTACGGCGCCCCCGAGAGCCCTCTGTCGCCTCTTGGGGGCCGGGGTGGGGGGGGGGATTCCCCCTTGCCCTGCCATTGGGGGGGGTGTAGTGTCCAAGGGAGGGGGCGCTGTCGGGGGGGCCCCTCCCCCAGCGGGGGGGTGTCAATACTTCCGCTGCAGTTTCTGGAGGTCCCCGGTGTTGAGGCGGGGGCGGGGCAGGTCCCCGAACATCTCGGTGCCGTCGGAGCCACGCAGGGCCAGTGCCCGCATGCTGGCCGCGATCTTCTCCAGGTCGGGGGACGAGTGCTGGGGGGCGGGGAGGGGGAGGGGTTAGCGCCAGGGGCACCAGCCAGGGACCCTAACACCCCCCACCCCGCCCCGCCCCTCCCCCTGCGGCCGGATTCTCCCCCGCAACCGCCACGACCTCTGCTCTCTGAGACTGACGCCCCCCCCCCCCCAAGACTCCAACCAGGGCCAGGGGCCCCCCGTTCCCCCGCCGGGCCCCCCACCTTGGCATTCTCCTCGTCAGACGAGCGCTGCTCGGGCCCCGCCTGCCGGAAGGCCCAGACGGGGACGGAGACGGGCAGTGACTTGGCGTACTGGTGGCTGGGGGGGCGGGGGGGGGGCTGGGCGGGCGCCTCCTCACTCAGGCTGCCATCTGGGGAGGGAAGAGAGTTAAGAGGGGGACCCCAGCCCCCAGACAGCCCCGCTGCCTCCACCCTTTCCCCCACCCTCTCTGGCAGGCTCCCTCCCCTCAGCCCCACGGGGTGAGATGGAGGTAGGGTTTTAGTCTCCTTATGATGCCGCACGTGAGTTTTACTGGCCAGTGTGTGCCTCAGTTTCCCTGTCCGCAGCACCAGTGCTAGGTGATGGAAATTGTGTGTGAGAGACTTTCGCTGAGGCCCTCGGGGGCAGGCGAGGCAGCTTTGAGGTCTGTACATAGGGGATGGCCGGTAACCTGAGCCCCAGGAGGGGCATGCGACCAAGTGACTTTGTGCCCCAGAAGAGAGACAAAGACCAGCAAGAGCAAGGGGCGGATCACAGGGAGTCTGGGGACTGTGTGTGTGTGTGTGTGTGTGTGTGTGTGTGTGTGTGGGTGGGTGGGGGGGGGGGGAGAAGAGTCCAGGGCGTCTGGCCCAGGACTCCCCAAGATGGACTTGGCTATGCTCACAAACTCTGTTCTATGCCGTGTTCCTGTCAGCCAATAAAACTTCTGTGTCCCCGGCTGGCTGACGGTCACGGCTGGCTGCGGAGTTGGGGGGGCGGGGCCCCCTGGCTCCCCCAGGACCCCCGCTAGGCGGACTCGCTGCGGGAAGCGCCTGGTGTGGACGGGGAGGCTGAATGCTCCGGGGTCAGCCCCAGGAAGGTGGAAGCTGGGGCAGCGTCTTGCCCTGGGGACAGTAGCTCCGACAGAGGAGGGTCCCCCCGAGTCCTGGCTGGCTTCGTGCGGACTTCGCCTCGGTGACTCCATGACACCCCCCGACAGCCCCCCCAAACCTACCGTCAGTGCTCTCCGGGTCCGAATCGAAGAAGGGCTCATAGTCCTGGCTGGGGGAGTCCTCATCCATCACAAAGAGACCTGGGGAGCCGCAGAAGGGGCCCGTGAGGAGACTCAGCCACCTCTGGGGTGGGGTGCTGAGTATCCGGGGTCCCCTCACCCACTGCAGGGAAGTGGGATGGGGCGCAGGGGCTGGATGTACAGGTCCCCTTGTCTGGTGCCGAGATGCAGCCCCTCTGGGGTGGGGCATGGGAGCGGAGTAGACGGGGACGCCTCGCCCGGTGCTGGTAGACGCAGACCCCTTGCCTGGCACCATGACGTGGCCCCTCTGGGGTGGGGCGCGGGCCTGGGTCCCCTTGCTTGGCACCAAGTTGCGTCCCTTCTGGGGTGGGGCACACAGATCCTTCTGCCTGGCGCCGAGATGCGGCTCCTCTGGGGTGGGATGCAGGTAGACAGACCACCCCTCCCCCCTCCCGTTGGGGGGGCACGGACTCACCCGTGGTGTCGCTGGGGGGCTGCTGCTTCCCCGGTGACTCCATCTCCCTGGGCGCCGGCATGTTTTTCTCCTCTTCCTCCTGCCCCCCAACGGCCTCAGCCGGGGCTCCCTGGGTGCCCGCGATCCAGTGGGGGCTGGCGGGCGGGTCCTGGGGGGGGCAGCTGCGGGAGTAGGGGCTGGGGGGCGGCCGGGGGGCAGGTGCGGGCCGGGCGGCGTAGGTAAAAGCCGTGGTCTTGTGGACCACGGCGATGTCCTCCAGGTAGCGGCGGGTGGCGTCGCCCAGGGCCCCGCAGCCGTGCTGGGTGTAGGCGAAGCCGCCCGGCTGCGGGGCCCGGTAAGCCGTGATCAGAACCACCTCGTTCCCCGTCCGGCGCCGGTACCGCTCGGCCTCCGCGATCAGCCCCGCCCAGCTCTCCCGGTGGTTGTCGGCCATGCCCGTCATCCTGGCCTGCGGGAGACAGGGGGTGAGCGCCCGGATGCCTGGGTTCTCGCCTGCCTCGGTCGGGGGGGCGCTAGTGATTACCGAGGGGGGGGGGGCTGGGAGCCCGGACGCCTGGGTTCTCTCCCAGCTTGGGTGGGCATGGTCTGGGGGGCAGAGCCCGGATGCTTGCGTTCCCTCCTGGCTCAGGGAGGGGGAGCTGGGAGTCAGGATGCCTGGGTTCTTTCCTACCTCAGGGAGGGGAGTGGGGGCTAGTGGTTAGAGCAGGGTTGGGGACTGGGAGCCTGGACGCCTGGGTTCTCTCCCTGCCAGGGGTGGGGGGTACGGGGGGAGCGCAGCCCGGACTCCTGGGTTCTCTCCCTGCCAGGGGTGGGGGGTACGGGGGGGAGCGCAGCCCGGACTCCTGGGTTCTCTCCCTGCCAGGGGTGGGGGGTACGGGGGGGAGCGCAGCCCGGACTCCTGGGTTCTCTCCCTGCCAGGGGTGGGGGGTACGGGGGGGAGCGCAGCCCGGACGCCTGGGTTCTCTCCCTGCCAGGGGTGGGGGGTACGGGGGGGAGCGCAGCCCGGACGCCTGGGTTCTCTCCCTGCCAGGGGTGGGGGGTATGGGGGGAGCGAAGCCCGGACGCCTGGGTTCTCTCCCTGTCAGGGGTGGGGGCAGAGCCCGGACGCCTGGGTTCTCTCCCTGCCAGGGGTGGGGAGTACGGAGGGGGAGCGGAGCCCGGACGCCTGGGTTCTCTCCCTGCCAGGGGTGGGGGGTATGGGGGTGGGGGCAGAGCCCGGACGCCTGGGTTCCCGAGGGCCCGTTACCTGCCCCCGCCGCCTCCTGCCTCCCTCTGTCCGTCCCAGCCCCCAGGGTCACTGCGCGGCCCACGGCGGCGTCACCCTCTGACTCCTGACCTATAACCCCGGGAGCAGTTCCGCCCCTCCCCCCACACAGCGCCCCGCACAAGCATGGCGGCCCCCGCAGCGCCCCGCACAAACATGGCGGCGGCTGTGTTGCCCTGGATAAACATGGCGGCCGCTACCAACCCTCGGCTCCTTCCCCCTCCCCCAAGGCAAACATGGCGGCCGCCCTTTGCCCCGCACAAAGATGGCGGCCCCGCCACTCAGAGACATGGCGTCACCCTCACTCACGTGGCGACGGCCACCATGCGCCGCCCCTCACAAAGATGGCGGCCGGCCCGGGGGCGGGGCGTGACGGCGGAAGTGACGAGTGGTTGTTTCCGGAAGTGGTGGTGGTCTGTGGAGGATGGAGTCGGAGGGCTGCAGGGTGAGCGGCGGGCCCGGGCCGGTGGGGCTAGGAGGGGGCGGGGCCTTGGGGCGCGGGTCAGTGGTGGGGGAGGGGTCCCCGTGCGGGGGGGGCTGGGGGGAGTGACAGGTGGGGGAGGGGTCCCCGTGCGGGGCTGGGGGGAGTGACAGGTGGGGGGAGGGGTCCCCGTGCGGGGGGGGGCTGGGGGGAGTGACAGGTGCGGGAGGGGTCCCCGTGCGGGGGGAGCCTGGGGCTGGGGGGAGTGACAGGTGGGGGGAGGGGTCCCCGTGCGGGGGGGGAGCCTGGGGGGAGTGACAGGTGCGGAGGGGGCTGGGGGGAGTGACAGGTGCGGGAGGGGTCCCCGTGCGGGGGGGAGCCTGGGGGGGAGTGACAGGTGGGGGAGGGGTCCCCGTGCGGGGGGGGAGCCTGGGGGGAGTGACAGGTGGGGGAGGGGTCCCCGTGCGGGGGGGGAGCCTGGGGGGAGTGACAGGTGGGGGAGGGGTCCCCGTGCGGGGGGGGAGCCTGGGGGGAGTGACAGGTGCGGGAGGGGTCCCCGTGCTGGGGGGGGGCGGTACTTGCTCTGGCTGATATCCCCCCCCCAGGTGGCCTTCGAGAAGGACGGGGTTTTCCTGCACACCAGCGCCAAGCGCCACCCAGATCAGGACTCGCTCATCCCGGGGCTTGTCCGCATCCTCGACAAGGTACACCGCCGAGGGGCACCGCCGAGCTGGGGGGGCAGGGCTGGGCTGGTGGGGAGCTGCGGGTCGGGAGTGAGGGGCACCGCCGAGCTGGGGTCGGGGGGACTGGGCTGGTGGGGGGCTGCGGGTCGGGAGTGAGGGGCACCGCCGAGCTGGGGGCGGGGGGGGGGCTGGGCTGGTGGGGGGCTGCGGGTCGGGAGTGAGGGGCACCGCCGAGCTGGGGGGGCAGGGCTGGGCTGGTGGGGGGCTGCGGGTCGGGAGTGAGGGGCACCGCCGAGCTGGGGGGGGGGCTGGGCTGGTGGGGGGCTGCGGGTCGGGAGTGAGGGGCACCGCCGAGCTGGGGGGGCAGGGCTGGGCTGGTGGGGGGCTGCGGGTCGGGAGTGAGGGGCACCGCCGAGCTGGGGGCGGGGGGGGGGCTGGGCTGGTGGGGGGCTGCGGGTCGGGAGTGAGGGGCACCGCCGAGCTGGGGCCGGGGGGGACTGGGCTGGTGGGGGGCTGCGGATCGGGAGTGAGGGGCACCGCCGAGCTGGGGGCTGGACTGGCGGGGGGCTGTGGGTCAGGAGCGAGGGGCACTGGCAGAGCTCTAACTGCACCCCCTGCCCACAGGGCTCAGACCACCTGCTGCAGTGGACGCCCCTGGAGGAAGCTGGTGATGCTCCCCCGATTGTTTTCTCCAAGAAGGTGAGTGGCTCCCGCTGCCGGAACCCTCTCAGTGCCCCCCTCCCCAGCTCCTCTAACCCCCTTTCTGCCTTGTAGGAGTCCCCGGGCGTGGCCGAGGAGGAGCCTTTCGATCCGGGCTATGAGCCTGACTGGGCCGTGATCAGCACCGTGAAGACCCGGACCCGGCCGCAGGAGGAGCCCCCGGGTAACGGTGTGGGAGACGGTGGGGCAGGATGGGTGGGGAAGGTGTGTGGGGTAAAGCCTGGCTCATGGGATCTCGGCGTGCAGCAGGGGCCAGACAGGGTTGGGGGTCAGTGCATTGACGGGGCAGCCCTGGATGGTGCGGCTGCGGGGGAGTTAGTGCAGTGGGCCCAGCGTGGGACAGCTCTGGGGGTGTGTGCAGCTGGAGGGGTGTTAGTGCGGGGGGCTAACACGCCCCCCCATCGCTCTGCCCCGCAGGCTCCGTGCCCCCGGCCAGCCCCTGGGCGCAGTGGGCCTTCACGCTCAGCCTCTCTGAGCTGCAGTCGATCCGCCGGAGCCGGCCGGGGCTGGGCTGGTCCTACCTCATCTTCATCAGCCGGGAGAGCGGGTCCCTGCCCGCCCTCCATTTCCACCGCGGGGGCAGCAAGGCCCTGCTGCGGGCACTCTGCAAGTACCTCATCCTGGCCATGTGAGCGGGGGTGGGGTGATTGTGGGGGGCAGGGGAAGGGGCTGTGCTGCCGTGGCCGTGTGCGGAGCTTATGAACTGGGGCACTATCTTGGGGTGCTTGCAGCTGGGGACATTGGGGGGCAGGGCACTGCTGGGGGCAGTTCACAGCAGGGGTGGGGTAGTGGGACACTGCCATGGGTCCAGATTGGGGGGCCCAAGTGGGGGAGCTGGCAGTATGAGGCTGGGGGGTCCCCAGGCAGTAAGAGCTGGTGCAGGGCACACTGGGCAAGGTGGTTCCAGAGGGCGGGGGGGGGGGGGCAGTTAGCAGGTGCGGGCGGAGGCACCTGCCAATGCTGGGGTAACTGAGGACCCCCTCCCCCCGGCAGCTCCCCCAAGGACTCGCGGCTTTACCTGGTCTACAGCCATGACTCGTACGCGCTGTCACACGCCTTCGACGAGCTGCAGCTGTTCGATGAGAACTCCTCCAACCTAGTGTCGGTGAGTTCCCCAGGCCCTGGTGGACCCCTGGTGCCCCACAGCACACCCGGCTGGCCCTAGGAGAGCCCTCCCCACGGCCTGTCTGCCGGAGCCGCTCAACTAGGCCATGAGCCCCACACCACTCATGACACGGGGTGGGGGGGGGCTGGGAATGAGGACCCTTGGGGACTATCCCTGTGTCACATTGTGTGGGGGAGTCAGGGCCCTGCACCCCCCACCTCCTGCGATTCACCGTGACTCTCGGCCAGCCAGTAACACAGAAGGTTTATTAGCAGACAGGAACATGGTCTAAACCAGAGCTTGTAGGCACAGAAAACAGGACCCCTCGGTCAGGTCCACCTTGGGGGGCAGGGAGGCCAGAGCCCCATCTGGGCCTCCCTCCATTTCCTCAGCCAGCTCCAAACTGAGACTCTCCCACCCTCCTCTGGCCTTTGTCTCTTTCACGTGCCAGGAGGCCACCTGATCCCTTTGTTCTCTAGCCCCTTCAGTTGGCACCTTGCAAGGGAGGGGCCCAGGCCATCAGTTGCCAGGAGATGGGGTGTCGGCCATTCTCTGTGCAGACCCCATCACAGTGGCCCTCTAGGGCTCTGCAACAATCACACCCCCTTACCCCACTCCTGGATACTTAAGAACTGCCTGGGGAAACTGAGGCACCCACCCAGTATTCAGAGGGAACATTAAGAACAGTCCCGCTTCGTCACATCTCTCCCCCCTTCGAGTCCGAACTGAGCAGGGTCACTTTCACCGGTGACCTGGGGAAGTTCGAACCAACCAACGGTCCCATGGATGCCCCAGCATCTCTCCCGTCCCTTGGTGGGAGTTGCACCAGGCCCTTCCAGTCTCACGCCCTCCCTTAGGTCAGGGGTGCTCGATGGCACTCGCAGGCCGCATGGGGGAAGGTTTATGGGGCCCCGGCCCTTTTGCCACCCCAACACTCCTGGAGTTCAAACAGGGATTCGGCCTTCTCCCACCACTCTAGGCTGGAGGGCTGCGATTTGGGCTCTCTTGGTTAAGAGCCCCCAGCTTGACCTTGGCCCCCCTCTGACCGGGTGTCTCTGTCCCCTGCCGCTCAGCATCAGCCCCTTTCATTGGGTGCAGCCATGTCGGGGCAGAGGCGTCAGGGTGCCCAGCAAAGTGCCGCCCAAAGAGATCCGGCTGCAGCTTTTTAGGGGCCTGCCCCATCGCCAGGCATTTCTCCTTTATGGCCGGACAGTTCTGCTTCCGGGGCAGTCGCTTCTTGCTCATGTACCCGCTGGGGTGTCTCTTCCCCTTAGCATCGGCCTGCGTCAGCACTGCACCCAGCCCTGCGTCTGAGGCGTCGGTGAACACTGTAAAAGCCTTGGCAAAGTCCGGGTTTACCAGATTTACCGGGCCCTGGATTAGAGCCTCCTTCAGCACACCGAGAGCCCTCTGGCACCAATCGGTCTAGACCACCTCGTCTGGCTTCCCCTTCTCACCTAGCTCAGTGATGGGGCCAGCTAGGGAGCTCAAGTGGGGTACAACCCCCGGTAGTACCCTGCCATCCCGATAAGGGCCTGGACCTGGTTCTTGGTCTGGGGAACAGGCCCATCTCTGATTGTCTCCACCTTGGCCGGCTCTGGGCTTGGGCCGGTCCCCACCTTGTGGCCCAGGTACGACACCTCTGCCATCCCCACCTTGCACTTTTCGGCTTTTACCGTCAGTCCTGCCTCCTTGGGGAGCCCATTCCCGGTACAGGAATCCGCTCTCCCACAGGAATCTGTCCCTGCAGCCTTCCCCAAGGGGATTTGCAGTGCTGTGGCCCGCAAGTTCCCTCAGCTTCTCCACGGAGGGATCCATCTGCAGCTCGGTCTGGAATTCAGCTGGTGGGGAAGGGAGTGGGACTGTTCCCTCTCGCTGGCTGGGCCTGGGGTCACAGCCCCGCTGAGCCCTGTGCCTGGTCACTCCCTCCCTGCCATGGGATCACTTCCCAGCAGCGCCTCTGGACAAGGCAAACCTGGTTGGCAGCCGACCTGCCCTGCCTGTGGGTGTCCCCACTCAGCTGGGGTCTTATCTCCCCCCTTCCTCAGCGCTGCCCTTGCTGTCCCAGTTGGGGCAGGCAGCGAGCTCTCTGCGCTCCTTACAGCATCAGAGCCAGCGGGACCCCCTCTCCTGTGTGCAGGGGGGTGGGGAG